GTATTGAATATCTAATCGACAAGGTATGATTTCAGAAAAAATGAATGCTGCATATAAATGAACAGATGAATAAATAAAATCGTCATCGAGATTGGTTTTACCATATTATTGTGCGATATATCAAACAGAGAATACATGCAGAAAATGACATCCTAACCAATCATTTCATTGTGGTGCTCTAAACAGATACTTTATTGGTACACTTAATCGACATACGGGAGAAAACACAAATCTCTTCATGAGTAAAGATCGATTCATCTTTAAGCTTTCAGATAATAAGCGAAACCGAATAATCATTGCATAAATTAAGACTAAATCAAAAAAAATAGTGGAAATAGGAAATAAATCATCATATTTAAGAGTTCGAAAATTAGATATCGTGATATATGCATATATCTACTCAAGGGGACACTCCTCATTAACTACACTCTATATATTTCGATTTGCAACAATTGCTACAAGTTAACTGGGTCTTTTGATCAAAACTTCAAGAAGTCATACGAAACAGTTTGATAAAGCACCGAAAACAATCGAATTCGACAGAGGTGGCTGCCACAATCATAATTAGACTAAAAAGTCAATTAGTTAGGACAGCAATTACTTATAGCAGTTCTAACCTGTTATGGTGTATTCAGATCTGCACTAGTATGGATAAAATATAACCACGAATTCTACGAAGGCACTTACTCTTAGAATTTGGTCTATATGAATATCCTGCTTCAGCTATTTCACTTATTTCTATATGTTTTCATAAAGCAAAATTGTGAATGAATAATGAACACATCAATTACTGCTAACTTGTAATACTATCTACGCATGGTACCCGTAACTTTCTCAGGTCTACCTCAGATTGCCACTTTTAACTTGTTCGGGGTATTTGGATACTATTATCGAAAACCTTTAGATTCTATTATCAGATGTCTAAGATGTTTGAATTCATTGGAGCGCTTTATAGAAGTGATTACATCATGATGACTTTTCTAGAAGGTTAGTGTACTGGTCAAAACATCTTATTTCTGTTGAAATTTGTATAATATTTATGACTTTTCTATGTATAGTCGACTCCCGTCGAGACTGGGTAAATATGAGCAGAAAAACTTGTCTACGATTCAAGTAGGATATGTTGGCTATTAATAGATAGAATATCAATCAATAGCATCCACGTTTCTGATAAATGTCTAAATGAATATACCTAATAATAGAACTTCCCTCTGTTCTTGTATAGTTATTCGTTAGGTTCTTAATGACATAAATAAGCAATCTTATATTTATCGTCCCTTCGATAGTTGAGGGTGAGTGTGAATGATCTAATAGGCATTGACATGAATCATACCGACATCTTTGAGTAGCGAATAAATTAGTGCATGACCAGCTGATATCGTATCACATGACAGCATCGAGTTAAGATTCAAAGTAAAACTTTTTATACACGATTTAGCCAGTTGTACATGGTCACCAACTGAAACATTGGTTCTCATCATTTACATTGTTAATTTATTACTGTGATTAGACAATTTTTATTGAATAAAAGTGAAATATATGATCACGACCATTAAACTTCCATATGGTATGATTCAATCTTTGCTATATTTGTGAACATGTATACTTTAATTTCAATATTTTCAAGGCTACTTTTTTTCACAATTAAGAAAGCATCCATGAGAAGACCAAGGATCATTTCAGTATACTAAGAAGTGATCTAAATTTTTATTTTTTATTTTTTATGTGTTCTTCAAAGGTCATAATCTAAAGCCGCCAACCCTAATTTTGAGCTCATTTGGATGTACTCTAGGTAAGTAAGTCAATACCGACTTGAGAACACTACCAATTTACTACTTAAGAAATTAGTGGAAAATGGTACTATCAATGTTTATTGGGATTATACTTCAACATGTCAGAGATTGTTTTCGTGCATTGTGCTAATAGATAGATGATCGATTGCTGAACAAATGAGCAATTTGAATGATTCCATATTATCTATTTATTACGATTCTGCAGTCCAATATAGGCAGAAAAAGTTATAATTTATGAGTTTATAACACACGATCTTTGGAAGTACTTTTGCTGTCATTTTTTGAAAGGAAATCGGACTAAACTGAATCTTTTATATGTTATGCAACTTTTGGTTCTCTACAAATTAGTAAATAAATATCGAAAAAAAGTTCACCTTCGAGACGACGCAGAATTCACAAATCACTTTTCCATAATCATCATGAATTATTTTTGCCGAAGAAAGCAAATCTTTTTAGCAGTTTTGATGAACAAGGTACGATTGTTAGCCTAAACGATTGCGATATTCAGAACCAACATACAAAAACTACATCAAATCGAATGAATTCTGCGAAAATGTTCTTTTTGAGGAAAATCACTTGTGATCCCCACGGTGCATTTTATGTAAGTCTTGTCCTATGTTTCTGCAGGACTTAGTTTTTGCACAGAAAAACACTTTTCTAGAATTCATTTGATTCAATCTAGTTGTTTATGTTGACTTCGAATGTCACCATCGTTTGGGCTTAGAATCGTACCTTGTCCATGAAAATTGTTTAAAAAATTTCGTTTCTTTCGAAAAAAATATTCAAGACTGTTATGAAAAAAAAGATTTGTGCACTCTACACAATAATCAATCATCAGAGTAAGCATCTCTCTAAGATCTGCATTTCGAACAGAAGTTTTTATTTTTTCTGCGGACCCTATTTTTTGTTTGCATCGTTGCTATTCGTTCATTATATTTCATTTTTTTAAATTATTTGTTTTTAATTTTACATTTCTATTATTATAATCATTAAATTAATTAGCAAATAAGTCTGTTTTAGATATCCATGATATATACAGCAGATCGAATGGATCATTATACATTGAGCAATTCACAAACAATGATGTTCATAACTTTTCATAATTCCTGACGTGATTGATTTTGCAAAAAAATTCTAGGAAGGTTGACACCTATTTTTCTCCATTGCTAAAGTCTGTAATGAAGAGTGGTCGGTAATGGGAGATGTCTGTAATAGGAGCCTGTTTATAATGAAGATCTGCGTTGCTAAGTGTCTGTAACAGAAAGGAGAAGAGGAGGAGAGAGAAGATGCAGGCGCAAAAACTTCGACGAAAGGCTTACACTCACTATTTTCTTCGAAAATGTATGAGTTTTAGAAAATCCACCGTTATAAACTCATAAATTATAACTTTTTCTGCCTATATTGGACTGCAGAATCCTAATAAATAGATAATATGGAATCATTCAAATTGCTCATTTCTTCAGCAATCGATCATCTATCTATTAGCACAATGCACGAAAACAATCTCTGACATGTTGAAGTATAATCCCAATAAACATTGATAGTACCATTTTTCACTCCTTTTTTAAATAGTAAATTGGTAGTGTTCTCAAGTCGGTATTGACTTACTTACCTAGAGTACATCCAAATGAGCTCAAAATTAGGGTTGGTGATTTTAGATTATGACCTTTGAAATACACGTAAAAAATAAACAATATAAATTTAGACCAGTGCTTAGTATGCTGGGATGATCTTGAGTCTCCTCACAGGCGATCTCCTCCTAAGGACCTGTTCACTTGTAAACCGTATTGAATTGCAGAAATCATATCTGATTATTTTGTGTCTGACAAAAAGCACTGGAAGACTTGCAAAGTCTGCCTTTTGGAAAAAAACCAGTAAGATGTACATAATTGTCAAAACAATCTGTCGATGGTCATCCTTTGTTTCTATGGTTGACAGAGTGTCCTCTATGGAATACTGATAGGCAAAAAACTAACTACAAAAAAGTGGCTAGGTAATATTCAGTGAATCGAAGAAAAAAGTTGTGTATCAGTGATGTTCAACAGGCTGATCACCTATTTGATCGGTCATCATCTGTTTTAACCTGTGACCGAGACATTCTAATTCTTCTATTGCTTTTGATACCATTCCATCACGCCGAAGTGAATTCTCAGGCGCTTGCTTTGCTAATGAACACAACAGCGTAACTTGGACATGGCCAATTTCAAATTCTAGGTCGTCAATAGGGAATATCTTGTGAGCAACGCGTCTTCCATATTTTTCGCTGATTGACTTGATCGAAGTTTGATCACGACAATAAATATACTTCCAAGTGTCCTTATGTTCAGGTGACCAATGCATAATAAGTTCTAGTTGAGTATCGGGAAAAAAGAAATGAACGTCCATTTCTTGATTGATGATATGGGTACATATATGATTACGACAAATTTGAGAGTCAATAAAACGAATAAATATGTTCTTGTTGAATCGAGTATCACACCAATCATGTTTATCATCCGGATCAAAAAGAGTCAATACTCTTGTGCTTGGTGTTGACATGAAATCTAAAATTTTAAAATGAGCATGATTAACAAAATATATTTTTGTAATAAATATGATGTTGTTGAAAGCAAGAAAGCTTATATTATTTTATTTCATAGACATTGATAAATAGAAGAATGTTTTATGATACTTTATGTCGTGTTGCATCGATGAACTTGCTAAGACGATCGTAAAGATTTATACCTCGTTGAACGTGTTCACGAGCAGTATCTTTGTCGCCTGCCTCAATGCACTGATTGCCAGATATGCGACAATTGCTAGCCGTATCCAACACCCATTGAACAGCAAGTTGCTCTTCATCCTCGCAAAATATGCATACTTTGTCAAAACGATTAAAAAACTCATTCCGTTGTTTTCTTGTTTCTGGTGGTTTTCCCAATAAGTAGATTGATTTAATATTATCAAGAGATGAGACAATTTCGAGCATGCGGTCTCGGTCATCGGAAGAAACAGATGAAACTTCGAATATAAGGTCTTTTATCCGTTGATCTGACAGTAATTTATCCATGCACTTGTCTGTCTGAATTGGAATCATGAGGCAACCATCAGTGATGTTCTTTAAAATGGAATATATATGACATTCTTCTATGGAAGAAAGAACAAGAAGAACAGGATAAGTCCACCTATATAGAAAATTGATTGAAAGGTTCAAAAGATAATGTAGACTTACTGTTCTCTAAGTGTTTTCTTATGCAGTTTTTCATCACTGCTTATAGCCAAGAGTTCATTGAGATATTGTTGATATTTTTCTGCTTGCAAATAATTAGGCTCCATGCTATGAGAAATAATATTAACTGCTTGTGACATATGTGTAACAGCCTCTTTATATCGATGAAGTTCTTCCAGTATTGTTGCCATGCTGTAATAACTCATAGCGATTGATGGATGATTCGATGGAAATGATTTTGATTGTATTTTAAGTGTTTTCTCCACGTATGACAGTGCTCTTTCATATTTCTTCATAGAGTAATATACTTGACCTATATTACTGTATGTCGTAGCTAGGGATGGATGATTTGGGGGAAGTACTTCTTCTTGAATTTTAAGCGTTTTATCATAATATTGTTGTGCAGCTAAGCAATCTCCTGTTAGTCGATACATTTCTCCAACATTGTTATATGTCTCAGCCAATGAAGGATGATTTGAAGGAAGAGCGTTCTCTTGAATTTTAAGAGCATCTTGGTAATATTGGAGTGCAAATGAGTACTGTTCTCTAGCAGCATGTGCTCGGCCAATATTATTGTAAGTAGTTGCTAATGATGGATGATTAAATGGAAGAACTGCTTGCTGAATTTTAAGTGCCTTTTTATAATATGAGATAGTATTCAAGTAATCATTCATTGAACTATGCACTCGTCCTATATTGTTATATGTATCAGCCAATGCTGGATGAATTGAAGGTAGAGATTTTTGCTGAATTTTAAGTGTCTTTTCATAATAAGAAAGCGCTTTTGAATACTCTTCCATACTATTATATATTAAGCCAATTTTGTTATATGTAATAGCTATATCTGGATGATTAGGTGGAAGAGTTTTCTCCCTAATTTGAAGTGTTTTTTCATAGAATGAGAGCGCTTTGGAATAATCTCCCATATCTTGATATACTGAACCAATATTATTATACGTTTCAGCATGTGATGGATGATTAGATGGAAGAATTTTCTCCCTAATTTGAAGTGTCTGTTCATAGTAGGAAAGTGCTTTTGAATAATCTCCCATGGTTTGATATACTGAACCGATATTGTTATAAGTTTCAGCATGTGATGGATGACCTTTTGGTAAAGTTCTTTGAAAAATGTCAAGCGTTTTTTCATAGTATGAAAGCGCTTTCGAATAATCTCCTATACTATTATATACCAAACCGATGGTGTTGTACGTATTGGCCAAATGTGGATGATATGATGGCAAGCTTATCTGTCTAATTTGAAGACTTTTATCTAGATATACAAGAGCTTTCGAATATTCTCCCATTGAATGGCATACCCATCCAATGTTATTGAAGGTTGTAGCCAGGTCGGGATGATTCGGTGGTAGAGTTTTCTGTTGGATTTCAAGTGTCTTTTCCAAGTACGAAAGTGCCGTCGGATAATTTCCCATTGTTTGAAATACCGAACCAATATTATTGTAGCAATTAGCCAGGTCAGGATGATTCAATGGAAGAGTTTTCTGCCTTATTTCAGTTGTTTTCTCATAATAGGAGAGCGCTTTTGGATAGTCTCCCATATTATCGTACGCTAAACCAATATTGTTATAAGTAGTAGCGAACTCTGGATGACCAGATGGAAGAGTATTCTGTTGAATTTCAAGTGTCTTTTCATAGAACGACAGTGCTTTCGAATACTGTCCCATTTTGTTGTACACTAAACCAAGATTATTATAGGTGGTTGCCAAATCTGGATGATTTGATAAAGAAGATCTGCAACTAATTTGAAGCGTTTTTTCCAAAAACGACAGTGCTTTTTCTAGATAGCCTTTCTCAATAAGAATGTTTCCAAGTTGATTGTAAATATAAACAAGTTCATTTGAATCGTCGTTGGATAACATTTCGAGTAGTGTATTGAAAGTATCCTCAGCTTTGTCAAACTGTCCCATCTTAAACAATAAGTTGCCGAGACGATGCAACGCATTAGGATCTTGTATTTCTTCGCGAATACGATTGGTAAGATGCTCGAGCTGAGTATCGGTGTTATTTGTCATAATCATCTTCACATTCCACAAACCATTGTCAATTTGTTCAATTTCACGTATGCGAAAAACGGTATGCATTGAAAAAAGAATTTCATCCTCGCAGTGTGAACAATCATTGACAATTTTCAATGGAGCAAAAGGAGTTTTTGAGACAGAAGGATCGATTTCCATATCAAAGAGTATTCCTGTCAAATGTGAATCATCTTGAGCACTATTGGCGAATCCCAACGCGACTTTTCGATCAATAGTTGTAGACAAAAAGTTGTTGAATGACAAAAGACCTCCCGTACTTTTCTTCATTTTTTCAAATTCATCATTTGACATGCTTTGTCCTCGGTATACGATCAATGTTTCGATTTTATTTACTGTCGAGTAGACTTGTTCGATGTGTTGATGAAGATCTTTCAAGTAAAATCGCATTTTAATAATACTAGTAACGTCTTGTGTTCTTAATGCTTTATTGAGTATCGAGTAAATAAATGGCCTGTTTATGTACCACCAAATAGGCGAATGCTGGTTATAATTCTTTTCCATTTCATCGATTCTACTCAAATCAACTTGATAACCTAAATTTTGATCACGAAGCAATTTGAAAAAGTTAGCTTTTGCTTTTTCATCATAATTCATTTCAAGAAGAATCTCTTTTAATAGTACAGAATACATAAATGATTGATCAAGTTCATCTAAATCAAGAACAGAACCGAACGAGAATATATGAGTTGATATTAAATCTTGCTCATATTGTCGAAACTTTTGTTGAAGTTGAGTCAAAATCACTGAGATATCAGCAAACACACCTCTTACTTTTCTCCATTCTGATAATCTTTGTTCCGATTTGATCTCTTCATGATAAAAAATATATATTGAATCGACTTGAGATAAATCATTAATAAGAGGTATAACAGTCATAGCGACATTATCTGATAATATAAACAAGAATTTTCCATCCTCAATACTTGTGATAAAGTCAATACATTCATCAATATGAGTAAAGAGTTGTACAGCATTAGTAATATGTCGAAGCTGAATAATTAAATCATGATATTTATAGTCAAATTCACTTAAGTTCGGATCCAACCAGATGACAATTAACTTTTGAGATATACAAGATTGCCAATTCTTTAAAGAAATCATGTTATCATTTGATTCTCCCCGTTTATTATCCTGTGTCGTGTTTGCTATTTCAGTAGAGGACGAAATAGATCTTTTGGTTGTTAGTAAATCGGCGATGCTTCCTGAATACAGCCCTACAGCTTCTTGCTCACTTGACGACATCATACCGATTTATTATTGTATTTTGTTTTGTTGACTATAGTGAAAAATTCTGTTTTAAATATCGGCAATCAATATAAATGTATTCTCTTCCTATTTACTGAAAGTATATGACGAGATGTCGTCATCATCACGTGACATTTCTTTTGCGTTTCATTTACTCACTTTGCGTGAGGTTCTCTCTCTTACTAATTTGTGTTTTGCCGTCGTCGCTTCTTGAGTACATATTCACTATTTAATCAGTGACTGGGGAGGGGGTGGCAATAATATCGTTGTGCTTTCGAGGCTTGAGTAATGACACTTCATGGGGGTTCATTAGTATGCATACTTCAAGAAAAAAAGTACTCTATTATAATTTGCTCAGAAAAGAATATGGAAGTAACTTTAAAAGGTTTTTACTAGATAAAAAACAATTGACAAACTGATGTAGTCTGACAAATCAACTATTTTTAATTTATTGTTTGAAGAAACTCACATTGTTTATGGAACTTTCAAACGTCTTGATGGAACACCAAAAAATCCACTACAACACACTAGGTAACTTCGAGATAATACATTATTAAAATGATTATTAAAAGTCTCATTGAAATATAAACTTCGATAGCATTTTTTTATTGTGATTTTTAGTATTAAAGATACAATAATGCTTTTTTTAATTATTTACCGATTCTGTGTCCAAAATAATTTCGTCGATGACGAGACTTTGCACATAAATATAATATTTTAGAAAAAAAGGTTGAATAAGCACAATATTCAATCAAAATGAATTAAAAAAACAAAATCAGATATTGTACAATATCGCTTTCTACACACTATTCAAGTTCAAAATATTTTTTAGAAGACTAATTGCTATGTCTAAATCAGTTCATCAGTCGAAATTTATCGAATGAAAAACATGCCATGGTGGGAAACTGAGTGAACATATACAAAAATAGTTTTTTCTAGAATTTAACCATTTGAAATAACAATTATATAAATGATTTATCATTTTCTGAAATATTTTGGCAAGAGAAATTCTTTGAAGATATGTTGATTTTTTTCATGAAGCTTGAACATTAAGAGTACTTGTCAGGTTACATTTAGAGACCTGCACTTAACTCCGAAAATCCTATTGCATTCTTTTCTTGTGCGACATTTTTTTTCACTATAGTAACTCCTTGTTAAAAACAACTTTTAATCCAATAGCCAAGTAAAACCAAATATAAAAGTACAAAAAAACAACAAAAAACATCCACACTAGATTAGCTTTTACAACCGATGATTGCGAAAAATAAGTTCAGTACCATTCAATACCTTCGCTTTCGTCATTAGATATATTTTCATCTTCTTTAAGTGCTTTTTTTGACTACTATTTCACTTCACTGTTCTAACGTAATTGAAACTGGATCAAAATTTGATCTTTTTGTTGATGCCTTCTGACTTTGATGAAATTCTTTCAATAAAACTAAGTTTTTTTAAAGAAACATGCTGATCAAGGTTTTCATCATCAAAATTTGTTCTGCGCTCGCCGACACTGTTTTTCGATGACACGAAAAAAGCGTTAATCGTAATGTTTGAAGCCGATTTTGCAAAGATTTTTCTAGCAATTGAAAATAAAACTGGAAATAAACCCAGTAGTTTATGCCAAAAATTCAAAACCTCAATATGTTCTTTATCATCATTATTAGCAAAATGAAAATCTTGATTTGATTAGAAAAAAGATTTCAAAGTTTTTTCGAATGTCGGAGTCGGAGTTTAAAAAAATGTAACTCTGCAGGTCTCTAGCTACATCTGATTGGGCATGTACGTATTTCAATGATAAGTGCAATAGATATTTTTCCTTGAAGTATCTCAAGTAACCCTATTCAGTCAACTACTTCAGTGTGTTGCACGTTGGCAAATTTTGAAGTTCCATTAAACTCAAGAAACCTAACAGTATTATTAAGTTCTTTTTATTTTTTCTAATCATACGAGATCAATACATAAATATACTCAGCAGGTGACAGCAATATTTTGCTGTCGATTGAAATGCAAATTAATATTAAACACATATTGTGTTATTGAAAAAATTTTATCAGTCTGATTGAAATAATAAGTCATGCAACTGTGAATGATTATCATCTAATTTTTTTTGATAGATAAATCATATGATGTATTGTTTGCGTTGATTGATAAAATTAATAATTTCGAAATACTTAACCCTTTGACCGCCGCCACCGTTTATAAACGTTGGGAGCCTCATCTCTGCGTGAACTAAAGTAATCATTCATAATGTATGGTTTTTTACACACATTTGCGTAAAAACAAACGTTGAGCAGCGTGTGCTTCAAAATCCACCATTTTATTAAGGCACGCTGTAGAATTGTTCCATAAAAAACGAATAAATTTTCTGCAAAACCGTTTCTTCCTTCTCTTATGTCGGCGATCAAAGGGTTAATGTAGTAGAAAATTGAATCATACATGTATCATGCATGATTCAAACTTCAATAAATTCTTATGCAAATAAATATTCCAGCCAATTTGAATAGTTTATTCTCACATAGTACATCCTAATAATCAAATCAGAATATATTGTTGTTTTACTGAAATGTCATTTTATGTATTTTAGTATAACGAAGGATGATATTCTAAGAAAAATCAAAAAAAAATATTATTCCTATTCAACATTACTTTAATGTTGTTGCTTTTAATCTTATAAACACTAATCTTTTGTTGAAATAATCAAGTAGACGGACTTATGCTTCATAATTTCTGCTAAAATAATTTCATAAATTCTTGAA